CGCTTTTCCACTGCATGGTACGACTCGGCTCGGTACGGCTCAGTACGGCACGGCACGGCTCGGTTTGGCTCGGTTTGCGTTTCCACTGCAGTTTATTACCACTTTAGAGTGGGTGGGATTATTCACATGTCGTTATAGTTGCGCCGCCTCTACTGCCGCGACTCCTGAAAAACTTTTTCATTTGGCGTCGCCCCATCAAGCTCTCGCTGGATCCGCTCCTCTGCTATCAACGAGAGGGACGTCTGTACTTCCTCAACAGGGGGAACAGAAGCGCCAAAAGTGTAAGTCCAAACCTACACTTTGGGGTCGGGAAGTTATTTAAAAAGTTATTTAAAAAATGCATTTATTTGATCAAAATTACAGTAAAATTGTGGAGCTGTGCGAAGTCCCTTCATGCTTCAAACGCTCCACCATCATCCCCATCCCAAAGAAATCCAAAATTACAGGACTTAATGACTACAGGCCTGTGGCTCTAACGTCTGTGGTCATGAAGTCTTTTGAAAAACTGGTGCTGGCCCACCTGAAGGACATCACTGGACCCTTGCTGGATCCTCTGCTGGGAACAGGTCTGTGGACGATGCAGTTAACATGGGACTGCATTATGTTCTGCAACATCTAGACAGACCAGGGACTTATGTGAGGATCCTGTTCGTGGACTTCAGCTCGGCCTTTAACACTATCATCCCAAACCACCTCCTGCCCAAACTACTCTAACGTCTGTGGTCATGAAGTCTTTTGAAAAACTGGTGCTGGCCCACCTGAAGGACATCACTGGACCCTTGCTGGATCCTCTTCAGTTTGCCTACAGAGCAAACAGGTCTGTGGACGATGCAGTTAACATGGGACTGCATTATGTTCTGCAACATCTAGACAGACCAGGGACTTATGTGAGGATCCTGTTCGTGGACTTCAGCTCGGCCTTTAACACTATCATCCCAAACCTCCTCCTGCCCAAACTAACTCAGCTCTCCGTGCCCACCTCCGTCTGTCAGTGGATCAACAGCTTCCTGACAGACAGGCAGCAGCTAGTGAGGCTGGGAAAATACACATCCAGCACCCGTATAATCAGCACTGGAGCTCCTCAGGGCTGCGTCCTCTCCCCACTGCTCTTCTCCCTGTACACCAACGACTGCACCTCTAAAGACCCCTCTGTCAAGCTCCTGAAGTTTGCAGACGACACCACACTCATCGGCCTCATTCAGGACGGTGATGAGTCTGCTTACAGACAGGAGGTCGAGCAGCTGTCTGTCTGGTGCAGTCTCAACAACTTGGAGCTCAACACGCTCAAAACTGTGGAGATGATCGTGGACTTCAGGAGAAACCTCCCTGCTCTCCCCCCACTCACCATCATGGACAGCACTGTGACTGCAGTGGAGTCATTCAGGTTCCTGGGCACCACAATCTCTCAGGACCTGAAGTGGGACACTCACATAGACTCCATTGTTAAAAAGGCCCAGCAGAGGTTGTACTTCCTTCGCCAGCTGAGGAAGTTCAACCTGTCACAGGAGCTGCTGAAACAGTTCTACTCCGCCATCATTTAATCTGTCCTCTGCACTTCTATAACTGTCTGGTTCAGCTCAGCTACCAAATCTGACCTCAGAAGACTACAGAGGGTAGTCCGGACTGCTGAGCGTATCATTGGTTCAACCTTCCCTTCTCTCCAAGAACTGTACTCATCCAGAGTGGGCAAAAGGGCTGGCAAAATCACTCTGGACCCCTCACATCCAGCACACTCCCTCTTTGAACTGTTGCCATCTGGTCGACGCTACAGAGCTCTGAGCACCAGAACGGCCAGACACAGGAACAGTTTCTTCCCTCAGGCCATCCATCTCATGAACACTTGACAATAACTGTGGAACACACACTATTTATTCACTCATACACTTATTTATCTAACACACATACTCAGTCTACATTTCAATTTGCACATAATATACCTGTACATACAACTGTCTATTGTTCTATACCTGTACATACAATTGTCGGTTTGTATATTTTTTATTCCTTATTTTACTTGTTCTATTTTTTATTTTTTAATTATTTTTATTTCTTATTATCTGTGTTTTTTGTTCTGTCACTGTCATTCTGTTACACTGTGGAAGCTTCTGTCACGAAAACAAATTCCTCGTATGTGTAAACATACCTGGCAATAAAGCTCATTCTGATTCTGATTCTGAAATGTTATTACAATTTAAAATAGCTATTTTCTATTGTAATATACAGTATGTTAAAATGCAAAGCTGAATTTTCAGCATCATTACTCCAGTCTTCAGTGTCACATGATCTTCAGAAATCATTCTAATATGCTGATTTTGCAGCTCAAGAAGCATTTCTGATTATTATCAATGTTGAAAACAGTCGTGCTGCTTCATATTCTTGTGGAAACCGTGGTACAGTTTCTTTTTCAGAATTCTTTACTGAATAGAAAGTTCAAAAGAAAAGCATTTATTTGAAATATAAATCTTTTGTAACATTTTTTATGTATTTACTGTCACATTTGATCAATTGAATGCGTCCTTGCTCAATAAAAGTATTAATTTCTTTCCAAAAAAAAAAAAAAGAAACTGTTTGGATGGTAGTGTACATATTTTCTCATTGGATGTCCTTTTTTTCAAGTAAAATGTCTTGCTAATGACTCATTTGCACCTTGGGTATCTCCATTTATAAAGTATCTTCCCAAACTCTGGTCTGTGGTATATATGTACATCTCTCATATCACAGTCACGCAGCCGCAGCCACCAGTGGAGAGGTGAGCCGGCCGTTTGCTGTGTAATGAAAGGGTTTGTTCGAGCAGCAGGTGTGTGATACGGGCTCTATTCAGGAAGGTCTTTGTGTCTGCGTGCGTGTGGGCAGAGGTTGTGCTCAAGCACCTCAATAGAAGCTTCTGCTGCGATGGCCTCGGCTCTTTGTACCTATCTGTCAGCGAGTGCTTTTCTCAGTTCAAGAGACTGTGCCTTTTCTCCTGCAGATCCTGTCCGCTTTCAGATTACTGCATTTTGGACATTTTGACTAGTTGAGAACTGCATTTTTTTTTCAAGCGGATATCTGACACAGATTTTTTGTGTGCATTTAAGCATCCAAAACAAATACTTTTGTTGCATCCAAATTGAGTAACTTTAAAATGTGGTTCTAAGCCCAATACATAGCTGATCTAAACAATCTTGTGCAATTAAAATCCACTCGTTTATATTTGTGCATGGCTAAACAAAGTAATTCTTGCTAGACGAACCTCTTTGTGTGTACGCCATCTGAATCTCTATTTAAAGCGTTATAGCTGTTGTTTCCCAGATTGAAAGTCATCATGAAATCCAAAATGACCGTAACAAATCACAGAATTAAAAACGAGGCTCTGTTTCGCCATGTTTGTATATGGTGGTTTTCTATCTGTGTGAACTGTCATGCAATTAACAAGTTTTAACATGTTTGCTGTCACATACAAGTACTCGTTTGCGCATAACCATCCATGTTTCAGATGCTCTTAATGATATGGACTGATTGATTAGATTCAGTCTGGTTTTAGTATTATTTATATTTAGTATTGTTTTAGTATTATTATTGTTAAGTAAAACTAAAACCATAAAAAAAATGTATTGCTTGAAATAAAAGTATTGCTAATTTAAATAAAATATAAAACTTAAACTTGATTTTAGCTAGTTGCCAAGGCAACATTTTCTCATTTTTGTTTAAAGTTGAAGTAACAAAATAACTAAAAATAACATATATATATATATATATATATATATATATATATATACACACACACACACACTTTTGTAACAATATGTATTTATTATCACTTTTTATCTATTTAACATATCCTTGCTGAATAAAAGTATTGATTTTCTTTTAAAAAATGTGTTTTTTGAAATAGAAAATATAAAAAAGAAATGCAATATTAATAAAAACTATAAAAATACATCAGTGATAGGCTAAAACACTGATGTATATACTATTATAGTATTTATTAATATTTTGAATTAGCTTTTATTTTTATATTTTCAGTTTTCATTTTCATTTTAGTTATAATTTATTCTTTTTTTTTTCTTTTTGGTTTTAGTAATTGTAGTACTTCAAGTTCAACTTATTTTATTTTAGTTAGTTAATTATAGTTAATTATAGTATATATAGTATAATTATAGTAATAGCTTAATTTTAGGCAAAATTCCTGATTTTCATGTGATGAAATTTTCATTAGATTTTTCATCGAATATGTCTATTTTTTCAGATTTATTTGAATTAACAAAAACATATATATATATATAATAGTTTTCATTTTATTTAGCAATAAACACACTAATTGCATTCCACGGTATGTGACTTTATATAACCAAAGAAAATTTGTATTGCTCAGATGTTGCTCAAGAGATTTAATGGAGTACTTTACATTTCTTTTATGTATTGGCTTTGCCTCAGAAGTTTCTCATAAAAACAAAAACCAATAAGGCAATGATTGACATATGGTAGGAATATATAAATATGTTTAGCAGTTCAGATCATGTGATGTTAGGAGATTTTGATGAGAAACCTTTGAGTTCTGTTGAGAACCGACTATTAATGGCAGACTTTGATGTCTTGGCAAATCTGAGACGTTGTTTAATCAGAAGATATTTGCTCTCCATTTTATCTTATATAATCTATTGAGGAGAAACCATTTTAATGTGCATGCAAGATATCTCACTTTGGATCTTTCTTTCAACATGAAAGGTTATTCTGTGTACTATGAAGTACTAAGAATAAGGAACTGTGACGTCTGTTGTTTCATTCTCTAATGCTTCTCCTAATGTTCCACTTTGAGAGCTGTGATTTATATCTATATATCTCATTTAATTTCAATTCTCTTTTGCTACAGCCCTCTGGCACACGCCATAACTCATCATTATGTGTGCAATAAGTCAGATAAGCAGTTCAATATTTAATATGTTTCCCTCAGATTTGTTTGGATGTTATCTGGGTCTCACGCCGCAGCCGACTGCAGGATAATGTTACACATGTTTAACAACATGGAGGAGATTGTACTTGTTCATCATCCTGGCCTGGCCTCCTCATCCCGATCTGAATTGTAAATTTCGTCGGTTAAAATCAATAGATGCAGGGACTGGGATTCACACACGTGGGCGTGTAATTGGGAAAAACATAAGAGCTGGTATTGCTTCTGACAGGTCATTTATCCCACTTTAGTTAATGGTAAGCGTGGCTGGTGTTGGCCGCGGCTGGATTCGGTCATTAAAACTCGGTCTATGTTTTCTCTCGTGCTTTGTTTCTACAGAATAAACACTTTGCAAGTTGTGCTGATCTGTTTTGTTCCACAGAAGAAATACAGGTTTGAAACAATACGAGGATGCATAAAGTAGATATTTACTTTTTTATTTCTTATTTATGATTGATACTCCATAAACGTCTCATGAAATGCTCAGTCATTGGTTCCCGTCACAGTGATGTGAACCGCTGCAGTCGTGGCAAGACGGTGTTCAAATGTGTGTTAATCAGTGTTTGCATGAATGAGAGGAGACAGTCTCATAAGGGGGAAGAGGAAGTGCACCGCAGGAGGTTCACGCTCGCACACTGACATGTTTGCGGTGCGTTAAGATGCTGCACGTCAGGAAATGTCTCGTGTCTGTCAGTGGGCAGCGGGAGGCTGATTTAAGACGACTTTGAATATCTTGACATCCTGGAAATTTTGAGGTTCCACTTTTTTCAGGAACAAACCAGATTTGGGCATTTGAACGTGAATTATACACACCAGAATGCTGTAGGGCACTTAATGTGTCAGAGACCATTTGTGAAGTTGCCCTTAAAGCAGTTTAGAAAAACAACAAGTGATTTTTGCTCAAGACATCTTGAAGTCGTAGAAGTAAAGCTATTATGCCCATTGAATCAGTAGTTTGTCTTAAAATGTCGCCGTATGGAAACAATATACTGAAATTGAACCATCAACTGAATGTGTGCCACATTTAGCACTTTAATTTGAGACGGATTCAGTGATTATGACTGACCTCTGATGATACCATTTGTGTTTTGCACATTTAAAGTCAAAATTCACCCTGTTTACATTTAGTTGGCATGAAATGGAACTTCACCTTATATCTATTTCCAAAATGCATGTAATTTATCACTTTGTGAGCGACTCATCCGTGCATATGTTTTATTTTTAAAAACATTTTTGTTGAGTCTTTAATCAAAATTATTATCATTTTAATGTCCATTTAACCAGATTTTAAGAATAAAATGACGATTGGTACACATTGGTTTTCTTGCTTACTGATGTTTGAGCTGCTTATTTCAGGGTTTCTGCGGCTCTTAAAAAGGTCCTGAATCTTCATGAACTGAAGAAAGTCTTAAGTTCATGAAGTTATGGCATTAAATGTTGCATGCACTGCCAATATATATATGTCTCATATATATATATATACTACCGCTCAAAAGCTATATATCATCCAAGTGGATGCTGCACACTGGTGGTGGTTGAGCAGAGACCCCCCCACATGATTGTAAAGCGCTTTGGGTGTACAACAATACACAATAAAGTGCTATGTAAATGCATCATTCATTCATTCATTCATATATATATATATCTTTCTCAATATTTTTGTCTTGCTTTCAGATACAAAAATCTAAATATTCTTAAATCAGGCAGTGTGATCAGAAGGTACAGTACAAGAGGAACTGTTGTTTTTACCTGTTACAATGTTTGACAAATACAAATTGTTGTTCAAAAAAAAAAGAAGGTACAGTAAAAGTGATTCTAGTGGAAGCAGAGCTATTCAGGCCATAAGTTTTGTTTTTGTTTTTTATTTTTTATTTTTTTTGGAAAATGAATTAAAAAGTCTATTGAAAAGATCTATTGTAGTTATATTTTAAAACTTTGAAGCATTGCTAATGCAAGACATTTACATTTAAAGACCATATCTCGTGTTACATTTAATTTATTCTTTAATTTTCTTTATTTGGTCCTAAAAAGGTCTTAAAAAGTCTTTGATTTGACCTTCATAAAACCTGCAGAAACCATGTTATTCATTGTGTGCATGTTTTTGCTTTGACGCCAAAATCCTAGAAAACCCTGGCGATTTCTAAATATCATGCAAGCGAGGGTTTTACAGTTGTTCTTGTGTTGTTGAGCTTTTCTAATGAGTTCTTTTTGATGGTTATCAGGTTTTTATTGTGCATGTAAATGCTTTGAATGAGAAGCAGCGTTTCCTCGCTCAACCCCGGCGTGTTTGGAGCGCGAGGTCATCGCCGCGCACAGATGGTTTGTCTCTTTTTCTTTTCTCTCTGCTCTTTTTTTCGCTCACTTCCTGCGTTGTTTGCACGTCGTCCTCTGAGTCCTTCGATTTCCCAGCAGCCCTTCGCAGGCCAGCTGGACGTTCTCCAAAACTTGCACCCATCCTGCTGTTTTTAAGTGCCATCTCGTCCTCTTTTTAGCCGTGCGTGAGAGTTATGCCGCAATTATACTATGTAACATTTTCAGATACGGTGTCCAGCAATTTTTCACGCTCATTTCAAACACTTACATGTGGTACCAATATGGCATGGATTCGTACTAAATTGACATCAGACCATAACTTACTACGACTGATTGGCCTGATGTCGTCTATTAAAGAAGAGCGTATCAGGTTTCTAAACTGCGTGTCACTTGTCGGGGCTTAAAGTGGAATTGATTTAGGAGCCTCATCTACAGCTGGCCGCAGAAGACGATTGTGAATCGAAAGTGATTTTCTGCTTGTGTAACACCGGCGGCTGGGCTGACATCTGTCTGCAGCAGGTTCAAGTTGTTGAACCATCACAGATCAGACAGAGGAGAGAGCGCCCGTATATCAGTCTGAGGAGACGGACGCTTATCTGATAGATGGACAAATGAATGCAGCAGGCAGAAAGCTGTTTTGCATCACACGTTCAGCGTTCCGGCCTCCTCTAAAAGAAAAGCTGTCTCATGCGGCGTGTGCCAGCTGAGGTTTAACTCGCAGGTAAGTTCTGTTCACCGTGACCCTGATATTCCCACCTAAAGCTGCCGTAGAAAAGTACAAATGTAATTATCCAATGCAGTAAGTGTAATATACACTGAACAAAATTATAAATGCAACACTTTTGTTTTTTCCCCCATTTTTCATGAGCTGAACTCAAAGATCTAAGACTTTTTCTATGTACACAAAAGGCCTATTTCTCTCAAATATTGTTCACAAATCTGTCTAAATCTGTGTTAGTGAGCACTTCTCCTTTGCCGAGATAATCCATCCACCTCATAAAGCATCCAAACATTACTTTGATTTTGTGTTTTAGTAAGATTATCAGTTTCAGTTTTCAAAAATGAAATTTCTGGCATTATTTACTTATCCTGATGCTTATTTTGATGAAATATTTGAAAAACGAATAAACATCTAAAAAGCAGGGCTGGGTAATGATACTGTTTTCCAGATTCAGTTAAGTTGATTCACAAATGCTCAGTTTGATTCTGATTCTTTTTGGAATGTTGCAGGACATTTTGCTTACAAGAAATACATTTTCTCTCGCTGCTAATGCTGTAAATTATACAGGACAGTGTTTCAGACTGATTCAAACCACTGAACTGTCTTCTTTAACCATTCATTAAACAAGACGGTGCATAAGAGTAATTTTTTGTGAATGGTCGCACTATATGTTTTTTACAACTGAAAATAACCTGTTAATAAAAGTAATTTGTTTTAAGAGTTGAACTACATTGGTCAGGCTCTTTATTTATTTAATTGACTAAAAGGTTCTGAATAAAAAGATTCATTTGTTTTATGATTTAGATTACATTGGTCGTGCTGTATATATTTGACTCACTATAAAGAATCATTTTGTAAGAGTAATTTGTTTTGTGAGTTTCTGCTACATTGGTTGGGCAATGTATGTGTTTGATTCAATAAAAATAACTGGTTCATTAGAGTCATCTATTTTGAGAACTGACTGCATTGGTCATGCTGTGTTTTTAATTCACTAAAAAGAACCAGTTCATCAGAATGATTTGTGAATCGTACTACATTGGTCACGCTGTATGTTTTTAATGAACTAAAAAGAACCAATTCATAAGAGTCATTTGTGAATCATTCTACACTGATGACTGTATTTGATTCACTAAAAAAGTTTTTTTTTTCTGACTTTATTGGTTGCACTGTATGTTTTTAATTCACTGGGAAAAAAATCATTAGAGTCATTTGTTTGTGATTTGGACTACATTGGTCACGCTGTATGTATTTGATTCACTAATACGAACCAAATTATAAGAGCCATTTGTTTTGAGAATCTGACTACATTGGTTGCGCCATATGTTTTTGGTTCACTGAAAAGAGCAGGTTCATGAGTCATTTGTTTGTGATTTGGACTACATTGGTCACACTGTATGTGTTTGAGTCACTAAAAGAACTGGTTCATAAGAGTCATCTGTTTGGTCAATCGTACTACATTGATCACGTCATAATGTGTTTGATTCTCTAATAAGAACCAAATTAGAAGAGTCTTTTTTTTTGTTGAGAATCTGACTACATTGGTTACGCTGTATGTTTGTAATTCACTAAAAAGAAGCAGTTTATAAGAGTCATTTGTGAATCGTACTATATTGGTCACACTGTATTTGATTCACTGAAAAGAATCAGATTATAAGAGTAATTTGTTTTGAGAATCTACGTATGTTTTTAATTCACTAAATAGAACTGTTTTATTCGAGTCATTTGTTTATGATTTGGATAACATTAGTCATTCTGTATGTGTTTGATTCACTATAAAGAACCAGCTCATAAGAGTCATTTGTTTTGTGAATTGGACAACATTGGTTGCATTGTATGTGCTTGATTCACTAAAAAGAACCAAACTATGAGTCATTTGTTTTGAGAATCTGACTGCTCTGGTTGTGCTGTATTGATGAACTAAAAATAACCTCTCTTATAAGAGTCAGTCGCTTCAGTTATCAGGCCACACTGAATGTTTTTGATTCACTATAAAGAACCAAAGTCATTAGTTTCGGGAATTGATATCTTTACCCAGCCCTATATGCAGTAAAGAACTAAACTGTCAATACACTGTGTGTAAAGCAAGTAAAGAAGTCCTGCCCGTATATTTGATCCATTTCTACTGTCATACATTATATATCGTCATACTTCCAGCCATCTATTAGGCTCAGACTGTAGATCATCCACTGACACATCCGATTCATTGAGGATGACTTTGAAATGGCCGAGAGGACAATTGTATTTTCCGTCCTTCATCCATATACTTCTTCCTGTGTGCCACACTTTCATCATAGGTATTTAATCCAAATAGGATTACTTTAAAAAATCCTAATAGCATAAATAATCAAAAATAAAGCAAAAATAATCATAATAGCATTTCCCATATCCGCTCTATTAGGCGGTCATTTACACTGTCCATCACTGTCAGATATTAAACTGTAATAGGCCTATCAAACAGTAATCACAGCTCATTATGTGCATCCGTCAGGACCGTGTGACAGGATGAGTGGGCGGAGCTGCTGTTGACCTACCACATGCCCTGTAGCTCTCCAGCAGCCAATCATAGAGAGCGTCATGCATTCAAATCACGCTGTTTTCTCAGCAAAGCCTCATTATCATTGGCCGTTTGTGTTCCAGCTTCCAATCAGCTCCAATCTGGAGAGTTACAGAGTCCAGCCAGGCGTGCCGGGCGACTTTCGAAAATGACATTTAGTTTTTATACTGTATATATCGCCACAGGTCTATTTGAATATGAGTCACTTGGTTATGGATTCTTCTGGGCGTATGAATTATACATTTTATAATGGTGGGAGAGAGAAAAGCTAGTTAGTTCTTGAAGTGCTTTTCTCTTTGCCTGCCAAACACAGAGAATGTAGCTCTAATTTGCTTTTGCCATGATTGATTGACAGTGTCGCTGTTGCCCATCTTAGTTAAGGCTTGGCCATCACAGTGGCCAGTTTTTTTTTTATTTAGAATTTATAATGTTTTTATTTAGAATTATTTACAATTGTTGTTATAATTATTACCTTTTTGTATTTATTTTATATTTGTATTTATGTATGATTTAATATTATTTACCCCCACAGTTTATAATATTAATTTATTAAGTTTTAGATTTATTATTTATAAATATTGTACCTTTTTATATTTATTGTATTTTTTAAATTATTTATTATTTAACATTATTTCATTTTATTTTAGTGTTTTCTAACTTACTGCCAAAAAGTTAGTTCTGAACTAGCATCTTTGTCTTTGTTACTCACATGCTTGTCTTTTTTTAAATTTAATTTTACAATGAATTATCATTTAAATGTTTTTAAATGACTTATAATTGTTTTTATTTATTTTTTATAACTTTTTACATTATTTATTTTGAACTTACTGGCAAATATTTAGTTTAGACCCTATATGTTTGTTGCTCACATAAATATGAGACACTTGGTTATGGATTCTTCTGGGCGTATGAATATAAATACAGTATATAATGGCAGGGGAAAGAAAACCTAGTTAGTTTTTGAAGAGCTTTGCTCTTTGCCTGCCAAGTACAGACTGCGGCTCTAATTTGCTTTTCCCATGATTGATTGATAGCGTCATTTAACAGCGTCCCATTGCAGGTGCCCATCTTAGTTAAAGGCTCACGGGGCAGGACTGACTTCCTCCTCGTCGGGCGTCCGCTCTCGGCCATCACAGTGGCAGCTCTTCCGTGTCGTGCGTTTAATGAATGGTTGATTGTGGCTCAGATTGCACATGACATTTATCTGTGTCACTGCATTCTCCCCTGTGATTGGCCGACGGAACGAATAGCTGGAAGGTGTCGGGAAACATCCCATCTATCATGGTGTTAAAGCCATTTTCATAACACTATCCCGCTCAGATGATGTGTTACTTACAAACCCCCCTGATATAAATCTATATGATTATGATCCATATCCTGCACTGCTATTTGTACAAATACAATATATCAAAAGGAGTCTGATCCATCATGACGTCTTATTGCTTTTCATAAAGGCATATCTGCCCTTAATGTCTTTACAAAATTACCTCTCTGGCAAGCAAGCTGGTATTGTAAAGAAATAAGTTGTGAGAAGAATGTGAGTATGAAATATGTTGTTAGCAAGGTCTGAATTGAATGCTCACCAAAGTGAGTAAAAATCAGCTTTGGTAGGTAAACAGCAGTTTTACCTAGTTTTACCAATGCAATTATTAAATTAAATAGAAATGTATTTATTTATAATTATTGTAACTATTTAAATATT